TTGACTGCTTCTTATAATTATTTGTGAGATGAGAGAATTGGTTTCAATTTTCATGTCTGTCATTCTTTTTTTTACCTCATTTCCAGCTCCAGGCAGAAAAGTCTTGACTTTGATGGTCTTTCCAGGTGCAGGAAAAGGAGATTCCATCAGACTCCTCATAAATGGATAAACCAGGGCAGCAGATATCCCCCTTCTCCTTTCAACCTCATCCAAGATCTGATCCATCACAGAGAAAACATGTCAGCGTAATAAAAACAACACACACTTCTGAAGCAGCTCCTGCCCCAAAGAGCCCCAAATATGTGCCGGAGCAGAAACTGAATTCTTCCTTCACTGACCACTGAAAATCACAGCCTTTGGCCTGTAGAAAGTGATAAAGTGCATTCTGTGCTCTCCACAGTTTAAGGCACTGTTTAACAAAGGATTAATGTACTGTCTGAAACGTAAGGGCAGAATGCAACTACTAGAGCTGGAATTTGAGCAGACCCCCAGGGATATTCAATTTTCTCTTAGGAAAAGCAAAACAGGATTCAGTAATCACAGCAGGTCAGAACTTCAGTTTTACATCTGAGGTGAAATGTAAGACTGGGAATACAGAGCTTCCTGAGGTATGATGCTTGGTGTAGGCACTGGTTGATGTCCATGCTGGTTAGGAGTGAGGAAAGGCAGAAACTCTGACCAACACACCTTAGGTATAGATGCAGTGACACCAGCAACATTTTTACTTTCTTAGTTCACTAAAGAGGACAGGGAGAAGCTGAACAAATAAGAATGCAGCTTTGCTGCATCCATACGAGGACTGCTTTGCCAGCATAGCATTCAAGCATGGCTATACTGGCAAAATGCTCTAATCATGGATCTGGCCCTGGAAATAAAAATCGCTCTGCAATCACCATGTTGAAACTAGAGCCCATCTAGAGTGATTTTGTGAAACATGCCCTACTGTTTTCACTGGGTGTCTGCATTAAGGTAATTTTCCATGATACAGAACAGGTAATCCTGTCTTATAGCAAGCAGATGGAACTCCTTAAAGATTCAGAGGATTATTATATTTTCCCCCTTCTCCTTTTGGTTGCATGAGCCAACATAAATTAGGCCA